GTTTGATTTTTAAACTAAAAGCTTTATTAATCCACTTTACGGCTTGTATAAAGATGCATCTGAAATTTCTTTTCTGAAACCCTACTGAAAGGCGTTGCTGCGAACAAACCCTTAGGGCAATTATTCTCTCACCCCGTATTCGAACCTCTAGTTTTTTCTAATTTTCTTGTAATGAAGAAGTTTATTTTTTAATTTTCAAATATAGAATTCAAATCTTTCAACTACTTCGTACTAATTTAGACCAACTCATAAACGAATTTTTGAATCTGAAAAATATTTGATTTAATCTCTATGGTTAGTGTCCATACCACTAAATTATATGGAGTATGTTGTTATAAAGTTTAAATGAAATATTATTTTCAGGCGTGTATTTTAGATTGTGTTCCAATATATTTCGTTTAAGAATAGATCTTCTGTAAATATATTTACTGTTTACATTTCATACTTCGTGGCTCGTATGAAGATATTAGACCAGTTTATTATAACATTAATGCTACTTGTATACCTTTGATAAGTTTGTTGAACTCTGTTGTAATAAAAGGTGGTCTCATACGATCTATAAATACGTCGTCTTAAAAATAATGCTTTATAACAAACATGACTCATACAGAGTATATCCTATATCAAACTCCACCACAATTATATAAGATAGCTAATTTTCTCACTAAATAACTTTAATTAACATTTTTTTAAATCCCGGTGTTAATCCACATAATGTGGGGTAAGGGCCGGGGAACAACTTACCTGTTTATTTTAAAGACAGATATACACGGTAGGGAGGGCATCAAGCCAATACCTACCAAATTATACAATGTATGGATAACTAATCGCATCAAATTTAAGAATACTCTGGAATTTATTATAAATGTTTGGGCCACTACTAAAAAGGTTAGCGTTAATCACAACATAGTAAGCCGCCCTATTACAATGTTTCTTGATAAAAGAATAACTGAAATTGACATGTTGGAATTTTTCGTTGAAGGCATAGAGATTAGCAATCGATGTCCATCTTGGCATGTCGAGTCCTTCAAGGGTCTTGAGTATCTGTAAGTTGTCACATTCAAGAATGATATTTGTAACACCTCGGCCCCGTCGGCCCCGAGGTAGTTACTTCTGACCTTTAGTACTGTCCTCACAAACCGACACTAGCCTTTTCCGCGCACTTTGTCCTCACTCGTGCGTGCCCTGAGAAACTTCTCAAGGGGTCACCCATCCCAAGACAACTCCCGTGCAAGCACGCTTAACTTTGAAGTTCTTTGTGATGAACTCCCTTAAAAGGAGATGCATCTTGTTGGTATGAGTAGTACTATTAAGCCATTTAAATTAAATCTCAAGTATTACAATCACCCCACTTAGGAACGCAACGTCCTCGTTATGCCCATAAACCAATCTCAATCATATCCTAGAATCTTTTCCCCTGCTAAGTGCCCGCCCGATATCCAACGGATCAGCACACTGTCGCAGGATTGCTCTGATACCATTTGTAACACCCCGGCCCCGTCGGCCCCGTGGTAGTTACTTCTGACCTTTAGTACTGTTCTCACAAACCGCCACTAGCCTTTTCCGCGCACTTTGTGTTCACTCGTGCGCGCCCTGAGAAACTTCCCAGGGGGTCACCCATCCCAAGACTACTCTCATGCAAGCACGCTTAACTTTGGAGTTCTTGGTGATGAGCTCCCTTAAAAGGAGATGCATCTTGTTGGTATGAGTATTACTATTAATCCATTTAAATTAAATCTCAAGTATTACAATATTAGTATAGTTATTCTCGTTGATCAAATTATTTAAATTGATCATGTTTTAACAGAAGATGGAAGTATAATCGGGATGAGTATGATTGTGGGAGTTGTATTGGAGGAATTATATGAAATATAATACTCTGTATGAAATATAATCTGGTTAATCAATTACTAAAACCTCCGTTGAATTACAATGGTACCTTTGACATGCTATAATAAATGAGGTCCTCACTCAAAATTAAAGAACCTTTCTTTTGTGTTTTAAAACATAAACTCCAATAGTTTTAGAAGTATTATTTAGGACATTGTTTTTGACTGGATCTTTTTGTGTCTAACAAACCGATTCTTTTACCCATTATTCATACTTAGCAATTGTACTCCGATTAGCTAATGATGTAACATCTGATTTATTTTTCTCCTACAATTTTCAATTTCTGTAGAAAATTGAAACTTTGATAACACAAAAGAGACTTGGATAAACAATATCAAAGTATTATGGGACACATAGAGGACAAACAATATCCCACTTATTTTTCTCCTATAATTTTCAATTTCTGTAGAAAATTGAAACTTTGATAACAAAGAAGAGACTTGGATAAACAATATCAAAGTATTACGGGACACAAACAGGACTTACAATACCCGTTGATGAAAGATCTAAGAACTTAAACATAAGCATAGATTATTTCTCAGTCCAAATAAACACTATTGGACTGCAACACTTAACAAAATTATAGATTATTTATCACATCATTATGACTTTTTTCCATGTAAATACAAAGATGGTTCTTACTTTTATTGTCCATTATCCGTGTGTTTTGTTTTTGTGTGACAAAGATTTGATTAATGGTCATATCCCAACCCTTTCTACAACAATAATATGGCCAGGAGTATGTATATGGACGGTAGCAAATGAGTTGGTTTGGTGAATGCCTTTAAGATACTTTGAAACCCAGAATTCCCAATGAGAGTATTAGCTGAGCACTCCACAACATATCTGAATACTTTTTTTTTGTATATATAGACATGCATGATGCTTCACATAAACTTCAAATGCTTCAAAATTCGATAACCTGTTAATAATCAAAACACCAAAATGATGTTAACAATAACGATACCTTGATGAGATTATATGGCTATTATATTTTGAGATGGAGAATTTCTCTAGAGTTACATACAACCATTTAAAAAATTGAGGTGTTGGAACCGTGTGGAGGTGCCGACTGGGTGGGAGGTATTTATAATGTTTTCTCCCTAGTGGATTAATTTTGAACATGTATTCAAGGTTGACAGCTGTATTTTTTTCCTTTTCCCACTTCAATCGAGGAGGAACTGTGTTTTTTTGCACATGAACCAAGAAGGAAGCCGAAAAGATCAAGGAAGAGACAGCTTGGTGTGCGCATGCTCCGGAACAGCCTGGCCAGACTTGATGGGGCTGTAGAGTCTGTGTACTGTTCAACTTTAATTAATGTTTTCACTGTGCATATGTACATATATAGTCTCTCACATCTAACTTTTTCATCACGTGTACCGAGAAACACTTTCTTTTGTATAAGTTTGAGATTAATTTCATCATTAATTTATGTTGTGCAATTTTACCCTTCTCATGAGCTATTTCTCAGGGCTATTTTTGCAATTTCCTTGATGAACTTTCTTGCTGTGAGACCTTGGGCGGCAACACTGTTTTTTGAATAGTGCCAAAAAGATTTTGCTTTTATATAATGATAGATGATGACTCTAGTGCGAATTTCAACTCGATCTTTCCGATCAAAAGAGCATGACGTGATCAAAATATAATGTACTAATGTTGCTTCGATATTTTTTACTACTACGTACGTATTTTGTTATCTAATACAGTGTAATACGAACGTCACTTTGAAATTTGATTGGGCATGGCATTATAGCATCAAAAATTGTTGTTTGTACTCACTCTTATACCTACTTTTATAACCACCATGTTTGTGTAAGACTTTTTTTGTCTGTGAACCGGATTCACGGACAAAAAAAACTTTCGTTCACAAACATGATGGATATAAGGGTGGGTATGACAAGAATGATTATTATAGACTTACGGCTACAACTTGGTTTTTCTTGACTTGACAAAGTAGTCAAGTCATAGAGTATTTAACAAATTGTAATTTCTATTGTATTTTATTAAAAAACTAGAGTCATACTTCAGACTTTGTCTCCCAATTAACCTCTTAGGTTGACTTCAAAAGCACATCTCTCACACATACATTGTAAAATTTGAAGAATAGATAATACTATGGTGGGCTGAAGCTCAGGACAATCTACTTTTTTTCCTAGTGTATTTTTTATATATATTTAGTCTGTCTTGACAATAGTTAAGCGTAGTATAATTGTTTTTTAGTCCAGAGCATTTCGGATTCCTGGATCCACCCCATCTCGATAGTTGGCGGGAGTAATAATTTTCTTATACGAATTTTACAAAAAAGATTTAAGACATCAAAAAGGGAAACTAGGTTGGAATAGATGAGTTGAGTTTATATATTCCTTTTGTCTCATCTTTCTTTAATTTGTTGCTTACAGAATATTAAGATGGTTTCAGAATTTCATAATGTTTGTGTGATTTTAAATGATTATTATTTTATTCTCACTTTTTAATTTTATATCGATCACTTAAATTCACCAATTTTGAAATTCACTTTGTTTCAGATTCACTTTTTAATATTTAATCGTTAGTATAAATATTATGGGGACGTAAGTATTACTCCACTAAATTAAGCGGGATTCTAAATTTATACACCCTAGTCTAAATTTATACACCCTAGTGTGTGAGTGATGAGATGCAGCAGGTAAAATTTGATAAGTTTGCGAGCCCGTTTATAGATTTTGTTTTTCGACTTATCAAACTTATCACTAAATTTTTTAACAAAACACATAATTTTTTATTTTGCGCGTTGAATTGTGTAATAATAAAAAAAGAAATTTGAAGTTACTTTTCTTACTGTATTGACTGAAGTTACGGTAGATGAACATTTTAGTCATTTTTTCATATAATTTTTCTTTAGTTTATTAATAAAAATATATTTTAATTTTTTTTTCATAACTCAGCATATCAGCTAATACAGTAATTTCAGACAGAACTTCATAACTTTCAACAAAATCAATTAATTCATCCGATTTCAATGTTACCAATTGAACTCTCAATTTATATTTTTATTTTTGATTTTTTGTTTTTGTTTTGAGGATTATTATACACTTATGGTTATTCATACTAGTTGTACATTAATTGAGATCAGATTAGACATGCATAATGATAGCGCTCAACAAGTTGGAAATGTAACTTGCGCCTCTCTCTCGTTTCTCCTCTCTTGAATGTACAAATATATCCATATTTAGACTTCTACGCCAGTCAGTCTAACCGTACAACCTTTTGGCCAGCCGCACGCCGACGCAACAGCTGTTCTCTTCGCGTGCGCCGCCGGGAACTACGCATCGTGCGCCGGTTCCATGACTAGGAGGAGGGGGATGAGCTCGTCTTTGCTCCCGCACACCCCGTCACCGTATTCCGTTCAGGTCTCACTTGTTTCCTCCATTGCTCTCGTTCTCCTCTCTCTAGCTTTGCTGTCTTGTACTGGTACTACTTCTTTCGCCGCCTTCGCATTTTCTCTCCCGGAAACGGATCAGCTGTTAGTTGCCGAAGCGGGCACAGCGAATGCGTCCGAATTGAACTCCACCGGCAATGGACCGCGGAATCGGCCCAAAGAGGACAGCTTTGCTGACATGATTGATCGAGCTCTGGAAAAGGAATTCAATGAGACTGATCAGAGCGAAGGTTCGTTTCGCAGATCTAGTCTCTTCATTTTTTGTATTCCTTTGCATCCTGAAGTTGTTATTCCTTGTTTTGTATTGAAAATTTTAAATGCTGTTACGGTTTGGTGTAGGGGTTGGTTCTGACCATGCCTTTCTAAAATTGAAATGATAAGTGGGTGCTGTTATTTTGAAATCTTAATTAACTTGATCTGAGCTCCATACATTCAAAATAGAAGGTTTCCTTAATTTGAGCGTTATGTGCGGAGGTGATTTACATTTTGTTTACTGTATTACCTTGTTGCACATATCTCATTAATTTAGCTTCCACAAGTGTAGGTAAGATAATATTCTGAACCGATAGTTATTTTCCTAATATGAGGCCTTGCATTAAATTGGCAGCTAGTGATGCTGGCAGCTTCAATAATACTGTTTCAGAGCAGCAGGTGTGTGGATTCTCAAGTATTCTCTCACTGATATACATCATTTCTCTATTAGAGTAGTCTGTAACTGCAAATGTAATGCAAACATATTGTTATCACTCTCACCTCATATAATAGGTCAGTTAGCAATTTAGTGTATCGTAGACATGTAGACTTATGTTTTTCACAATACTGCCATTGAGCCACCACTTAATGCAAGATAGTAGACCGGTAGACTTTGATTTAGATATCTAAAATACACTTTTACTTGTCAATTTTGAGTTGATCTACAAATTATTGTCTCCTTGATTGTCTTGAGCACAGATTTTAAATTTGTAATACATGTGATTTGTCCTCTGAGATAATGTGTCTATTACGAACTCCTAAATAGGGACTCCCTCTCACTTTGTGATTGAGTGCATACGAGTTTCGCTCCTATGTTACTGTTACTTTATTTTTTCAATTCTCTCTAGGATACAACAACAACAACATCCAAGCCTTAGTCCCAAAAGATATTGGGGTCGGCTAACATGAATCGATACATGATATCACCACCAAAAGGAAAAGAAAGAAAATAAAGATAAAAAAGATAAGCTATTATAAAAAGGTAATATAGAAAGAGATGAATATACATAAAAATGATAAAATAAAAAGGATACAAATAATGCTTATATATAAGGATAAAAAACAAGGAAAAAAAGATGAGGGGAAAAGATGATACGAGATCACTCCTCCACATGAATACCCGCCCGCCACTTAGCTCTTTCCAAAGTCATGCCCTCATCCAACCCCAGAAGAAGCATATCACTTCGAACTCCCCTAACCCACGTCTGTTTGGGTCTTCCTCTCCCTCTCTTCCCTGCCTCTTCTTCACACATCTCAACTCGTCTGACAGGTGCATCACTCGGTCTTCTACGCACATGACCAAACCTGCATCTTGTCTTCAATAGGTGCTACTCCCACCCTTTGTCTGATTGTCTCATTCTCTCTAGGATGCTTTCAGAAAATGGAAATCTGTTCAGAATGGGTTAAACGTATGGACAAGCAAACAAGTCTCAATTTTACACATTTAAATGCTTGCCGTGTGATAACCTGGTAGTCTGGTAGATTTTAGTTTCACTTGACGCATTACTTCTTTGCATGTTGAAAGTTTTATTTTATTGTGAAGTCTTTTATGTGGATTAAGAGTTATCTAAGCAATCTAGATTCAACATTTCTCTCTAATTCAGGCAGTATTGGAGACTGTGGCTAGAGTTAAGACCAAGAAAAATGACACAAAAAAGGAAGAACAGTATGTAATTCCACTATACGACCTCGGTATTTAGTTTCATTCTCGAATCTCGACCATATGCTTATCTTTTTTTGTCTTTTTTTTATTCCATGCAATGGATGCTCAGGTCATTTCAACTTCACCATGTCTTTAACCTTGATAACGACCATGGAGCAGAAGAGACACCGACTTTGATTGATAGGAAGGTAGATTTTAATGACGACTTTCTATATCATTTAATGTATTTTTCTATGAAGAGAAGAGCAAGAATTACGAGAAACGTATAGAGATTGCCCACTAGAATTAGCTTTTGAATTTGTTTAAAACTAATGATGATTACTTCCTGTACTTAGGACAATGTCTTTATCATATCCAATTTCAAGTCAAAATATCCTGTGCTACAATTAGACTTAAGGTACTGGTTTCTAACCTGTTGTAGCATGTTACTGCAATTGTCAACTTTCTGTGTCAAAACCACTAAATGCGCTGCATCGTGCGTACTTTATAGGTTGATATCAGATCTGGTCGTGGTCATTGTTGCTGCAACTTGTGGTGGAATTGCTTTTGCTTGTGCTGGACAACCAGTTTGTTAACAGTCACTCAATATATCTAAAATAACCATCTTATATCTTGCTGTTAGATGCCTGACCTTCAGTGGATCTAACAGTTGGTAATTTCATAGGTTATAACTGGATACTTACTGGCAGGATCCTTTGTTGGACCCGGAGGCTTTAATGTTGTAAGTGAGATGGTGCAAGTAAGTTGCTTACATGACATACCACGTTGCCTCTGCACGTGTATCTACATGTTTCATCTATTCATAGAACTTTAAGTTGTATGGTCTTTTCTATTATAAATTTTTATGCACCCTAATTTGTTGTGTGCTCATAGGTTGAGACTGTTGCTCAATTTGGTGTAATTTTTCTTCTTTTTGCTTTGGGACTGGAATTTTCCACGAGTAAGGTTAGTTTACATTGTCAAACTGGCATCCAGATTCCATTTTTGTGTAGGCGTATGCCCATATTAATATCTACATTATCACGATTATTTTTCGATGTTAGTAATATCATTGTAATATATTTATAGCTCCGAGTTGTCCGTGCTGTAGCTGTTCTGGGAGGCCTGCTTCAGATTCTCCTATTTATGTGTCTTTGTGGAATAATAGTTTCGGTATATATTGAACTCCTTTCCTTTGTGTAGTTTTATTTCCTTTCTTAAAAAACTGTTGGTTCACCACTCAGCACTTTTTGGAAAAACACTCATTTGGGGCTTGCTCCCAAGGAAATTACATGTCACCACATTCGCAGGATATATTTTAGTTTTTTTACTCCTGACGATTCATAATTCTCCTTAATTCACTCCTGAATGTTTTTCAACTTTTCTGCACCTCCTTCTGTGTTTCAGCACTTCTCCCTACACTGTGGGCCCTTTTTCAAACAATCAAACCTAGCCCTGTCCAGCTTTGATTATATTATTTGACTGCATGTCTTGACTTTGAAATCCATGCCTAGCCCTGTCAACCTTGATGCATCCTGATTAACTTCTTGAAGGCTATGTTAAGGCCATTGGTAATTGGACAAAGTCGTAAACATGTTAGTGTGGCAACTTCCCCAAAACATATACTGTTGGAAGGCGCAAGTGTGCAAAATGCAATATAATATGAAACATTTGTTCTGATTCTTTCTCTCTTAATGAGTCAGTTATATTTTATATCTGCATACATTAGAAACATATACAACAAAAATAACATCATCCAAGCCTTATTCCCAAAATATGGGGCGATTAAATTTGCTTATTGCAAAATTTATTTGGATGATTCCTAGCAACCGGAAATTTTATAATCATGCTGTATAAAGACTAGACAGTATTAAAATGCATTACATGCAAATAAAAACGAGGATACACTAGATTTTTGTTTTCATTTTTTTTTGTCATTGAAGCTTTGGAGTACTCTTCCAGATCACTACATCTGAGAAGATATACTTTTAGAGCATGCATTAATTTAGTAAACTCTGAGATGTTAGAATGGATTTCCATTTGTTTCACTAGTTTACATATTTCTCTTATTGGTTATGCTTAATGCATTGACGTCATATCCCTTCCTCCATTCCCATCTCCATTGGGACCACTAGGCCCACTATCGTTGCCACTTTAATGTATCAGCAGAACATGAATAACAAAAAAGCTAGTACCTTTAAATCTTTACTTGGATAGAGTTGGATTAGAAAACAGGTTCACAATTTCACTCTTGTGAAGCACTATTTGAGGAAACGGAGTAGCTTACAAAGATTTCAAACATGTATTCTGTGTGCGATAAGAGTATGTTCTCACTTTGTCAAGCAATTCCAATTGACCCAAGTTCATTGTCATTGTAGTTGTGTGGTGGGAAATCTTCAGAGGGTGTTTTTGTTGGTGCGTTTCTCTCAATGTCTTCAACTGCAGTGGTAAGCATGTTCATATGTTACTGTCTGTATACTTGAAACTCTTGTAGTCTTGTTTGATGCACATTTTGATTTTACATGATCATTTTTGCAATGACTAATGAGACATGATGATAACAATGATCTCAACTGATCTCCATCTTATTATATTTTCCATGCAAGTGAAAAAACCTATGATATGACAGTTTTAGAATTTCATCTACTTATTTCTTCTTAGGCATGTTGCCCTGAAGAGAATCCACTTGCACGAATTTACAGTGATAACAAATCTTGGAAAATTATTTGACACTATAAATTTTGTGCCCCCATCCAATTGGTGATGATAATGGTATTTAAAACTATCGTCCAAGCTATGGCAACAACCAATGTCTTTGGGATGTAGGTTCTAAAATTTTTGATGGAAAAGACCAGTACCAACACTCTGCATGGACAAGTTACCATTGGCACTCTAATTCTTCAGGTGCATTGATCCTCTGCTTTTATTTTTTTGTATAGGTCCATATTTTTTAAATTTCCTTGAGGGTTTCTCTAACATGTGGCCATGGATACATCATAAAAAAGTTAATGGGTATTTACTACTTATAGTTCTTTAGACTATCTTTGATTTTAAATTTTAGTGATACCTCTATCAAAATTTAAATGAACCCCTTTTTCCTTGAAATGATCAAATCCTTTCTTGAATTTGAAATGAATCACATTAATTTGTCTTTATTATGTTCCCATGGGCCATGGCTACACATTAGAAAAACACTTCCATTAAAATGTATTATGAGCTTAAATCCCAAGACCTCATTTCAGATATTTCTTTTTCACAATAACTTCACTGTTAAACTGACTTGTTATTTTTTCTTTTAAAACTCTATCAACCTCTCTCTCAACTTCACTCTTCAGGATTGTGCAGTGGGTCTTCTGTTCGCACTACTTCCTATACTGGGAGGAACCTCTGGGGTACTACAGGGAGTGATGTCAATGGCAAAGTCGTAAGTCTTCCAACTGAAGAATTTTTGGGAGGGGATTGCATAATCAGATTAACTTTTTTATTCTGTCCTTTTAACAATAGTTATTCGTACTACATGAACTCATTTTCATTTCTTTGTTTATTTTGTTGTATTAAGAGATTATTGTTTGGGTTCTGTAGACATAATAATAGTTACACTATCATGATACATCACCATTCATCACAATCATTCTTGCTGTTGTTGTTGACTTGTTATAATTATTACTCCATATTTTTCTATTTCCATCTTTTAGATGCTTTCAAGGGTAATGAGAATGACTCTTGGACCTCTTACAGTCTTACTTATGGAGTTTTGAGCTTATGTCTCTGGACTTTAAAGCCATCGACTTAATTAACTGGTTTAGTTTAGATGGAAGGGTTGACTAAAACAAAAAATTTACAGAAATTAGTTTCTGGTTATAATACGTGCAAAGGTGTATCGCCTTTAGAGATTGTATAGGTGCTCCCACTACCCACATGCCTAGGGACTAATTTGTTTGCTCTTAGTATTGCGTAGATGATATCAAATTGTGCATTATATCTAGTTTGAAAATATGACTTTGGTTTGCAGACTGCAGAAAATGGATAATCTAGAGTTTAATGAATTTTATGACGATACACACTTTGATGCAACTTAATCTAGAGTATATACCCCTTCTTTTCAAAGTCTTATGGGGTAGTTTATAAATAGCATGGTTATAGAAATTGCTAAGCACCATCATTGTCTGAAAAACGCCTAGCGCTTAAAGAGTTTAGTCAGTGCATAGGTGCTCTTCCCTTAAAAGTACCTAAGATACATAATATATTCTTGTAAAGCAATAGAATATATAAAAAGGCAAATATGTTAATACTTATTAAAGATAGTTTCTCTAACATGTGTCCATGATCAGCATGTTGTATTTCCTATTTTTTCTCTCCATGATATATATAATTCTTTTGGGACGAAGTCTGGGTTGTGGTTGTTGTTGTTGTCTCCATCAAAGTTTTACTCTTACAAAAAAAGCATTGACATGGGGTGTTAAAGGAAGAGTTTTTGCAACTATCTCTGCTGCATTCTTTTTATCATGCCGAATATGTGTTTAACTGCTGTACTAATTTCATATCATCAGGTTACTGACGTTGCTCACATTTTTTGCCATTTTAACAATATTGTCCCGGACATGTGTTCCTTGGTTCTTGAAACTGATGGTTAGCTTATCATCACAGGCGAGTTTTACTTTCGACATTATATGATTACAGGCCTTGTTAGTCAAAATAATTTTTCTTCTAGTATGTTTTAGTTTAATGGATATTATTGGCGGTCATTGATTCCTATTAAGTTATGTATATACTGCCCATGCTCAGATTTACTGGACTATTTCTTCTTTTGTTTGGACAGACCAATGAACTTTACCAACTGGCTGCTGTTGCATTCTGCCTCCTCGTTGCTTGGGTTTGTTTTTCTTAACCCTATTTTGGATCATTTTGTACTTGATAGTTTGATGCTTCATCTCAAGTGATAAATCCAGAACGTGGTTTAGTGCTTCATCGCAAAAAATCCTTTCTAGAAGCCTCTATCGACTTTGAACTGTCTTATATTTCCTTGCAGCATCTAACATCCTTTTATTATTCTATTACAAAAATCAGTCACTGCTGCATGCATTGAAAACATTTTTACTACTAACTTGAAATGTAAAGCTTGGTTAGTTCACTATGCAAAATACAACTAGAGCACTAGTGCACACGGGTTCTTTAAATTTGGGATGGTACTTCATTATGAAATGTTGTCTAGTATTGCTTTGTGATATCTAACAATTTTAATTTGTATAATAATTCCAGTGTAGTGATAAGTTGGGCCTCAGTTTGGAATTGGGTTCATTTGCTGCTGGGGTGATGATATCAACTACCGACCTTGCTCAACATACTCTGGAACAAGTTAGGTTTTTTTCCTTTAACTTTTCTTTCCACAGACACTAAAGATCCAAAAGTTTCTAGATTATACATTTCTACATAACTAGAGTGCGGTGCTATAAAAATGTATAAGGTGCTACGGCCTCCATCCCAAAAAAGAGTCATGCTTCAAATGCTTTATTTGTCCTAAAAAATCCCACTTCAACAAATCAAGTTGATTTTTTTATGTAACTTCCCAAAATATTTACTTACAAGCTAAATATGATAAGTTTCGGGGAATCAAAACAATAAATCAATATTTAGGTACGATCTGTGACTTAAAAGACTTGTACAATATCAAATAAAAAAGTTGTATCTTGGCCAAACAAGACTCTTTATTTGGGATTGACGGATATATTGATAAGTTCTTTTGGTATCGTTACTGAAAGCAATGCATATCTCTTGTTAATTTGTTATAATCATCTTAATGGGCTCTATCTTAATTCTTATTAGCAAAAACATGTATAAGCCTTGTTAGAATCTTAAGCTTGGGTCCTGTCCTTGAAATGCTTCTAGTAAATGTGATTTTCTATTTTATTAGGACTGAGTGGTGACCTAAAGGGGGATGTTGATTTATTAAGTACTTGAAAGGGGCCCATTATCTTTGTAATCCATATATATTCATGAATAAGTCTCTATAATGATTGTCTCTAATCTCTAAACCTTCTATTGTAGAGACCAGGGCTAAATCATGTGTTTATCTATATATTTATGTAACTTGTGTCTAGACTAGATATCAGCCTGTAGTTCATTGATGAAATATCTTGTATCAATGCTTCACGATTTAAAAGTATCGCCCCCACTCCCATGTGATTTCTTTTGAACTGGATGTTTATTTAACAGCTGATATGTACACAGGTTGAACCAATACGAAACTTCTTTGCTGCTTTGTTTCTTGCTAGTATCGGGATGCTTATACATGTTCATTTCCTGTGGAACCATGTTGATATCTTACTAGCATCGGTTATACTAGTGATCATTGTGAAAACTGCTGTAATTTTTACAGTCGTCAAGGGGTTTGGCTACAACAACAAAACTTCACTTCTGGTCTGTTATTGCTGCTTTATTTGAAATTTGAAATTAGACCTATTATATTTTGGTCTGCATTTCTTCAGTTTGAGGGAAAGAAAATGATGGATCATGCACGTTCTGTAGGTTGGGATGTCTTTAGCACAAATTGGGGAATTTGCTTTTGTGCTACTCAGTCGTGCATCAAATCTTCATCTTGTTGAGGTAAATGCTTTTTGGGTTCATCGATTCTGCATCATGGTATGGTATGCATATATGATGCTTGGGCCGTGAGTTTTTCCCTCTCATTTTTCTTTTGGGTTGCCGAAAATGTTGGTGAAAGGAAAAACATGTTGAGGAAATTTTCGTTCTTATGGTTTTACCTTGGGAAATACATAGTACAATGAATTATGATTCAATTTTAATTTGTAACTTAGATTAGTCCTTACGTAATAAGAATAAATATCTAACAGAAGTTCCGAGTTCCGACAAATTTCTAAAATTTATACTCGTATACTGAGTATGGACCTCTCTTATTTTCTCAGAAAACATTCCTTCTAGTTTTCCCATCAAATTTCCTCCCTATTTTCTTTTTCTATTTGCACCATTTACAAGCTCCAAATAGACCCTTGCAGTTGAATTTGACGTTGAGGTTTAAGTATCGATGTGATATTGCTACCCATACTCAAGACCTACAAGTCATATGTTTATAACTGATGGAACCATTTCATTTCTAGGGAAAACTCTATCTGCTGCTTCTTGGAACAACAGCTCTTAGTCTGGTATGAAGCATTCTCATAGTTTGATCCATTGTTTTTTATCTATTCTGATAGTCTAGTTTTAATGAATGCCCAACTATCAGGTGACTACTCCATTGCTTTTTAAGCTAATACCTGCTGTGGTGCATCTTGGTGTACTACTTAGATGGTTTACACCTGACAGCCAGAATGAGGTAAATAATACACTATTATTTACCTTCTAAAAAATGACACCCTTAATACTCCAGAACATGTTTTTATGTATACACACTTCTCTGAATTTCAGTTGGGATTAAAAGGGGAAAGCCTCCGGTCAGAGAGCGTTAAACAGAGGATTGCCTTGATATCAAAGGATCTCTTGATTCATGAAGGTTAAGCTTGTATTATAAATTCCTCCGGGGTGGGTGTAGCAAAAGGCTACATAGGTTCTCTAGCTGAATAAGCTCAATGTGGCTCGATGTGGCTCAATGTGGCTCGATGTCTTGCTATATATACATATACGTCAATCACACCACTAACAAGCTGAAGGTTTCACATGATGTAACGTCAATGTGAAGAACTTCTGAGAAACGGGAAAAAGACATCAGAGGTTATATCTAACTGACAAAACCACTAACAAGCTGAAGATTTCACATGATGTAACATGGTTTTTTTTTACCTAGGTATTCTTTTTCATTCGTCTTAGTGTAAAATAGTCTTTTGTTTGTTTGGGATCTAACTGAACTACTGTACTAGACCGGTTAGTTTAAAATTTCACCCGCATTTGGTATGTATCTTTTCTTATGTAAATCCCTGAATGTAACTAACATTTTCGTGCATCCCATCCCCTATGCCAATTGTATAAAATCTCATTTCTCTGCTTCTCTTGAATAATTGCTCAGGAGTCAGGTCCAATGCTTTCTTTTTTCGAGGTTTTGAACATTGACTACATTTTTAAAAAGCATGAAATGAAATTACTCAGGTGATAGGTTTTGAACATTGACATTATAAATGTTTGACGAATCTAGACGTTTAAGCCGTCGAGGCGTCGATTAAGCGCTCTGGGTGGGAAATTATGCGCTCTAGGTAGCTGACTAATTCACCTAGGTGCCAAATCAGTTAGTCGGAACACGGAATGCCTAGACTAAATTCGGGGGCTCTTGGCCACCGCCTATGGGTGGACTCGGGCTGGGTGGCCCTGCTCGGAACTGGCTTGGGACTGGCACTGTACCGGCCCGGCCTGAACCGGTGGCCCGGTCAGTGACTGGTCCGTGTAGGCTTGACCCGAGGCCCGAGGGGTTTCTGATCCGGGCTCGGGTCACCCAAAACAAGGCCCGGTTCGAGCCAAATTGATTTTTGTTTTTTTTTTTCATTTGTTTGGGCTCCACCCAGGTTGGGCTTGATGTTTAGGAGGGGTTTGGGGGGTGAGGGGGGGTGAGGGTGAGGGGGGGGGGGGGTTAGGGATAGGTAGGTAAGCAAAAAAAAAAATTAACCAAGCCCGAGGCTCGGACCCGGTGGCTAACCGGGCCAGTCCCGGATCCACCTATTCAGACCAGCCGGCCTGCTCGGGCCTTGGCCCGACCCGGACCTGGTCCGGCCTGAATCCACCCCTACCACCGCCTAGCGTCTAGGCAGGGATTAGTTGGGTGACCAGAGTGATTTTTAGAATAGTGCAAGCTACTCTAAAATATAAGAGATAAATAAACAATCAAAGCACAAACAAACTTAACTATGATATGATGGAGTTGCACATATAGTAGAGATGGATTGGGACAGGTCGGTCCGTACCGGGCCCGGTCTGGGCTCGGCATTTTGTAGGCCCGACTTGGCTTGTCTGGCGGGACCGGGACCGATACTAGGGGCCCGAACTGGGGATAGGGGGCGGGCTCCGGGACATGGGAAAAGCTGATCGGCCCAGCCGGTCCTGGACCGGTCCGGGCCTAATTGCTACTTAAAAAATTGTTTAAAACCTTAAATGGCTTTGAAGCCTTGTGTGGGGTGGCCAAACGGCTCTATAGCCGTCGGAGGGGTCTGGGGATGGGGGGGGGGGGGGGGGGGGGTAAAAATCTATAAATACTCATAATTTCTAAACATTTTCCTACACCTATTCTCCAATTCTTCATACTCTCTAATCATCTCCATCTTCATCTTCTCCAATTCTCTCTACACCCAGTGTTCTAAAAATCGGCCTAGTCGGACCGATTAATCGGCCTAGGCGGCTTAGGTGGCCCTAACCGAGGAACACTAATCGGCCTAGTCGGCCTAAAAATCGGCCTAGTCGGCCAAAAAATCGGCCTAGTCGGCCGCCTAGGCGCTAGGCGCCCTTCAACCGCCCGACTAGCGCCTAGCGAGTTTTAGAACAATGTCTACACCTATTAATATATTTCATATCTATTTAAATTAGTCATACAATTATTATATCTACTTATATATTTATTATCTACTTATGAACACATATATTATATCTACTTATATTTATTATCTACTTATTATCTAATTAATATCTACTTATTATATACTTGTTATTTACTTATATTTACATATTATATCTAATTAATATATTAATTGTATATATACTAAAGTCTTAAATATAAGTGTACTACTCATCTTATAGTAGTATACTTATATACGGAGTATTATATACAATAAACGTTAATTATTTGTTCCTCTTTCCCGTTTTGGTAAGTTTTTTCAATCAAAATACCTTTACACCCCCACTTTTATTACCATTACCCCTTTCTCTTTCATTCTTTTTCATTTACCCACAACCCACTACACCTTTTACACTACCCCTATTATTTTTCTCTTAAAACTCGTGCCAAAGTCTAAGAGGACTCATATTTAAGAACGGAGGGAGTACTAGTTATACAATTATTATATCTACTTATATACTTATTATCTACTTATAAATACATATATTATATCCACTCATATTTATTATCTACTTAATATATACTTATTATCTACTTAACATCTACTTATTATATTTACATATATTACATCTAATTAATATATTAAGTATACATATTAAAGTATTAAATATAAGTGTACTACTCATCTTATAGTAGTATACTTATATACTATCGTACTATATACTGAAAACATTATACTCCGTATTATATATTAGTTACACTTTAACTAATATTAGTTAAATTTATCCTATTACCTACACAATCACACTCCCATTAATTAGTATACATTCATACAATTTTCCTATTATTTACATTTTTCATTAATATTATTACACTTGTTAGATTAAAATATAAAAGTACTTGGAATTTTAGTTCATTAAACTATTAAAGTAGTTGCATTTTTAGTTAATTTTACTACACTTGTTAGATTGAAGTATTAAACTAGTTGCAATTTTAGTTAATTTACTACACTTGTTAGATTAAAATATAAAAATAATTGCATTTTTAGTTAATATTACTACACTTGTTAGATTAAAATATAAAAGTAGTTGGAATTTTAGTTAATTAAACTATCAAACTAGTTGGAATTTTAGTTAATTTGACTACACTTGTTAGATTGAATTATTAAACTAGTTGCAATTTTAGTTCATTAAACTATTAAACTAGCTGGAACTTTAGTTAATTTTACTACACTTGTTAGATTGAATTATTAAACTAGTTACAATTTTAGTTAATTAAACTATTAAACTAGTTGGAATTTTAGGTAATTTTACTACACTTGTTATATTGAATTATTAAACTAGTTGCAATTTTAGTTAATTTACTACACTTGTTGGATTAAAGTATTTATTAAACTGCTTGGAATTTCGCTTTAATTTTACTTGTCACATTTTAATAAAAAAAAGTCACATTTTTATATTATAATCACATTACTTACATTTTAATATAAAAGTCACATTTTAAGTATTTTTATAAATTACTTACATTTGTTATTACTTGCATTGTTTTTGTACGTACTCACATTGACATATTTGTTAGAATTAAATATTTGTTACATTTTAAGATGGAACGTGGTAGACATTCTGTAGATATGGGTAACCTCCAACGCAACCGAAAGAAGGAGATTGGGAAGAACCATCCTCATTCGCGAGGCAAAGGTAAAGGACATGTCGGGTCTTCTTCTCGAAGCCGGGATGATTTTGAAATGGATTACCAACGAAGAGATGTGAATGTGATGTCCGACGCGCAACTACAACAACTAATTGCCCAACAAGATGGACGCTTTTTTCAACAACATGACACCCCCGACATTGAGGAAGAGCTCGAGGATGAGGACGCGAAGGATCCGGCGACGGCCAAGGACGAACAAGATGGCTCTCAAACCCCGGACAATGACACCCACGACGAGGACGAAGCTGGTTCATCCCAACCCGGTAAGAAAGGTGAATCTCTCCTTATGAAAAATAATTATAAAAAGTGGAAGGACCCGGCAACCGATAAGTGATATGAAACTTGCAAGCATTGTAAGAAAGATATTAGCTAGGGAATTTCACAAGGATACGGCAGCACCGTTAGGCATATTAAGGCCCATCACCCCGTGGAGTATGCGAAATTAAAAGACAAGGGGAAGCAAACTCAAATAACGAGGTTTGCAACCGGCCAACCCTATGGTAATTTATCCTATGATGATTCCAAACATTTAACTGCTATGTCTCACTTAATTGTTGAAAAAAATTTGTCTTTTATTTTTTCTGAAAGTCTTGCTTTAAAATCTTATGCTCAAGGTTCTTTAAATCCTCAATTTAGAAACTATAGTCGCAAAATTATTAAAAAAAAGTTATAAGGCAATATGTTTTGGAAAAGAAGAGATTACAAATGTTTTTCGCAAACTTTGATGAGCGTGTTAGTTTTTGTAGTGATATATGGGAGGATACTAATCATCATTTGTATTATTTGGGTGTGACTGCACATTATATTGATGATGATTGGGAAATGCATAAACGTGTTATTGTTTTTCTTGAATTTAATGACCGACACACCGCTGATAATATTTATATTCTCATTGAGCGTATTTTAATTGAGTATAATTTGATCGATAAGGTATTTGCTATGGGGTTTGATAATGCTAGTAATAATATTGCTACTATACCTAGTTTGCATGAATTGTGTGGTTCTTCTACTTTGATGAGTAGGTTTTTTCATCATCGTTGCGCATGTCATATTCTCAATTTATGTATAAAAGACAGGCTAACCGTGTTAGGAGATGCTATGAAAATAGCGAGGGGGGTAGACTTATTTGGGCTAGTAATCCACTAAAAATGCAATGACCTCAATATTTGAGGGATAGACGTGTGAAATATTGTCAATTTCCTAAAGAATTATCATATAGGGAATAGACTAGCATCTTATATAGTATTTTTTTATTAATATGATTCAAATATATATTTTAGCAAATACTTCTTCATTGGCAACAAACAATGTTAATCATAGGTAAAAAGTTTATTAGATTATTTTATTCCACTATCATCAAATTCACAAGTCCATTATATATATTCTTTCACTTTTATAAAAAAGACTCAAACTTCATTTTTTCTAACAATTATGCTTTTCTATTTTGTTTTTTTTTTCAAAATCACTCATTTTTATCAATATCAATGAGATATAAGCAATACAAATTTGTAAACTTAAAATTGGAAAAAAGTGAAAGAATATGAAACATAAATGTGATTTTCTTATTAAATTTTACTAATTCATCCATTGAAAGTGTATTTGTGAGAAAGTTGAAGTTTAAGTCTTTTTTTTAATAAAAGTAAAAGCATGAGATTGATTTGTGAATTTAATGATAGTCAGCTATATATTTAGAAAACAATCCTAAGTAAATCTGAGACATAAGAACTTAGTAATTGAATATGATGAATATTTTCCCTAAATAGACTTAGAACATAGCATATTTTCTTTAATACAATTAAATTCATTTGTAACCAA